GTTGTACTTCGCAGCACTTCACTTGTAATTTGCAATTTCTAGTATGTATGTATGTATGTGCGAATGTATGTATATGTGTGTATGTGTACATGTATATATATATATATGTATATATATATATATATATATATATATGTATATAAATATATGTTTATGATTGTGGTGCTTTTTCTTATTTTTTACTTGATTTTTGTAATTCCTGTTTTAATTTTGATTTCATTTTTACGTTTTGATTCTGTACCTTTAATTTCAAAATTTCAGCCTAAGGTTAAAACTTTTTGAGTTAAGCTATTGGCTTTATTTACATTCCAGGTTAATTTGTTGTGCTTTTATTTATATTATTTGTTTTTGTATTAGGTTGTTTACTTTTGTATTTTAGTTGTTATTGCTGTCCGACCGCACCACACGAGTTGTGTGTGCCACCGTTCTAAAGGTGAAGAGTCAATAATTAAATAAATTAGTCAATAGAAAACCTTCTATTGACTATGGCCTAATATACTTGACCCATCAATAATGCTTTAAACCCCAAATATTTTAAATCTAGCATTTTTATTGTCATTTCCGGACAAATTTAACCCAGAAATGCCCTTTAAAATTATTATTAGAAAGTACAATTTGCATGGAAATTGTTGAAATTAACCCCAAATATTTTAAATCTAGCATTTTTATTGTCATTTCCGGACAAATTTAACCCAACCATGGTGGGGCTAAAGTGGGTATGGAATAAAAGTGCCCTTTTTTTGTGAAAAATCCCTTCTTTAAAAATCCTGCCTATAGGCTTGCTTGTGTCCCTATCAGGATTCCAAACCAAGACCTTCCGATAATCGGTTTGACGGACCGTTTGCGTACAGTACAGTAATAACGCAATGAATAGGCCTATTAGTAAGCAGTAGAGGGTCCAGAGATGTGGGGGCCGATCGAGAGACAACACTACTGTAGGGGAAGGGGTCCGGGAACATACCCCAGGGAAATTTGTTTTCTCTTGACGCCCGGAAATAACCTCTGAGGTGTTTTGGGCGATCAATAATTTCTTTGTCTTTTTTTCTTTTTTTTTTCACTTTCAAAAAAAATAGGGAGGGGTGGGCCTGTCCGGCATTCCACCTCCCTAAATCCACCCCTGGTAAGCATGATAGTAACTTAACTAATTACGGAAAAAAGGTCATAATTAAAGCATTTAGTATAACATTCATATAATTTTAAACCTGCATGAATAATTATAGGCCTAATGTTCGTGATTTGAACCTAAGTCCTTCCAATTAAAAGTAAGCAGAAAATAGCTCTTCTGTGCACTGGCCTAGAAAGTGTACGTTCATCATTACAATATTGTAGGGTCTATTCTTTGTTCAAAGTTTACTAAACTTTATAATTTGAGTGCTGCCAGTTTTGCATTAAATTTTAATTATTACCTAGACGCTAGGCCTATTCCTCAATGGCTACTTTTTTTAAAAATTCGTGACCCATTTGTAATCTCCGGTTGGTTGAGCATTTTGAACGCTTTTCAGGACGTGTCAAGTGTGATGGGTGATTACTGGTCGGTCAGCGCAATATTAAGCACAACCATACACATCCATTTAGGTCCTTTAGTATTAGATCCGTATTATCACGACCATAGTCATAATGCACTCAATAATTGTCTTGACCTTAAACGTATATAATTGCAGTTTAATTAGGCATACTTCAGTGTACTGTACTTGATATTGCTTAGAATTGCACACAGTTCATGGTTGAGAAAGACTATATCAAAGAATGATCTAAGGAATTTCACAAACTACCTGTAAACGCCGACACACAAGGCGTGATCCTCCCATCCGAAAGGTTTTTTCATTATTTGAGAGTGGGTAGGCATCATGTACAGTGGCGGCGCAAGGATTTCTTCGACGGGGGTCCAAGTGCCTCATAATAATACCCTAGCAGTGGCGGCGCTACGAGGGAAAAGGGAGACATTCTCCTCAGGTAATTTTCTTGCCTCCCCAGTTTCCCCTCCCCCACCCCCTCCCCTCCTCCCAATTATATCAATCGCTTTAGCGAAGTTGACGCAGGGCAGTCGCTTATCCAGTACGGGTAGTGCACTTACAACGATAAATACCAGCAATGTGTTATTTTCCCTTACCTGTTTCCTCCTCCTAAAATTTTATCTTTCCCCCTAACTTTCCCCCTCGCTGACGCTGACGACGCCACTGTATCCTGTGTTTACCTAAAAATATTCTGATATTTATATTCCGTGATTGGCTACACTTTTTTTTTTATAAGAACCCCTAAAATTTTTCCCAGACTCAGTGTTCGTATTTTTTCCCCGCCAATTTCAAGCTCAAAATGTTCTTATTTTACACACGTTTCAAAGATAGAAAATTATTGTACAGCAGTAGGCCTATATACTGTCTTTTATGTATATGTATATGTATATGTGTATATGTATTACATAGTCACACCTACTGTACCTATGGTACAGATAAGACCAAATGGATCTTACTGGTACTTTTTTACGGTTTTTTCGAGATTTAAAAAAAATAAATGTCACATTTGAAATTTTACCCCAGCCTCAATTTGTTGTGATTTTGTTCTTATTTTCAAAGTAACTTCAGCCTCAGTGTGTAAAAAAAGTGTATAGCTTCCTTTATGATTATATAGGCTTAAAGTATGATTTACTATTATACGCATCCAGTAAATGTTACAATGCATTGGCAGGTAAACACGTAAATAACGTATTAAACTATGAATGAACTTAAAAATGAAAAGTGAAAATTAAATGCTACCGCACATTAAAGCTATGAGACCGCAATGCTATAAAAAAAATCCCTGCGGTTGATAAAATATGGATTGTTTGTAAATTGATGCCAAGAAATAGGCCTAAAGCAAAGGGTATAGAAACAGTGTAGTTGTTCGTCGGATCCGTCACAATATTACCACACTTGAATTCGAGACCGTATTTTGTCCCTTGGATATCAGCATCGACCAAGCACCATCAACACTGCTGCAGAAGCAAGTCGCAGCCTCACACATATATATATATATATTTATATAGCGCCTTTCTTTGCAGATACGAAGCGCTTCTGTCCCTGGTCATTGGATCCACATGTTGCTGCTGTATTCAGCGCAGGAGCAACCCCACCCCACCAGGTACCCATTTATACTCCTGGGTGGAGAGAAGCAATGCAGATATAGTGCCTTGCTCAAGGACACAAGTGAAATGCACAGCGAGGGATTGAAACGTCGACCTCAATGTTGGGAAACCAAACCGTTCCCGCTGCGGCAAACCACTTCTACACACAGCCAACAACCCCTCTCTGTGTGTCAGTAGGCTGTACATTTTACAATCAGACATATTTGTGTATCACACTGCAAAATGAAAAATATAGCCCTATAAAACTAACTGTTGATTAGTTTTGAATCTACTCTTTTGAAGTGTTGTTGACACTTGTGTTGAGTGGCTATAAAAAAAACATGTTTGTTTTCGACGGAAGAACGGACAAAATACACAATACATATTGATCTAAGCTTATTAGGCCGCTTTGGTTTGTTGTTGAAAAGAAATATCCTGATTTTGATTTACCGTTTAGTTCTAAAAGTTCAAGGTCACCTAGCAGGCTTTTTCTAGAGTTACTGTATTATTGAAGCAAATGGAAGCAAATCTTAAAATTGACCACCGTCATAATTTTCAACAAACTGTGTATTCTTGTACCAGAGAGAGTCATATAACTGGTCTCTGATTCCACCGTGTACCGTAACTCACGAAGAACTTCTTGGGTTTCTTAGCGGCTAAAATTACAGTGAGACTAATGACGACAATTTACATTACTGTAGTTTACTATGGCTATTTTCTAATGATTCAATTTGTTCCTTCAACACTGGCTTCGATAAAATTCAAAATTCAGGATTAATATATTAATATAAATAATATTAATAATACTTGGAGAGTTGGATGGCCGATCGATTATGGCAGGCGAGCCGAAACGTGCCCTAAGAATAAGATCGGTGCTTGTTCGAACCTATGCTTTTTCCGGGTACTGGTGGTGGAACAAGTCTTATAAACCGTAGGCCCAGAGTACATAATTTGGCTCATGTGCACTTTCAAGAACCCAGTACATCTTTCAGACGAGTAAGGGGTTACCCAGGTGTACTGGTCCATTCAGCCCCTACTGTGGGCACAGAAGACGGTAGGCTGGTACCGTTTTACCGGACATGAAGAGACCCTGGGGGTGGGGGTGGGGGTGGGGGTTGGAAACAAGTTACTGTAAGAGCTAGTCGACACCTCCAGCGCTTTGAGATCGTTGCAGTATGAAGCTCTATATACCGTATAATGTCTAACTACATTACATTACTGTATTTGGTCTATTTAAATATATTAACGGAACAATTGTTATCCCTAACCAAAAAAGGAAAAAATTTTTCTCCAGTTTATCATTAATTCGATTAATATAGGCCTAATATGTAATGATAATTTAATATATTATTATAATTATTATTATTAATAATACTTCATAACGTTAATAAATATGATGTGGACATAATATAATAATAGGATAGTATTACTGTACCACTTCTGAGTTAAATGATTGGAGTGGGGTTGGGACTAACGCTTTTATTTATGATTCTGTAATACTGTAGGTAACATTGATATCATATATTGTTGACAGTGCGCTGAGAACAACTTTTGTAATCTAAGTTGACACCCTGGTGCATATGTACCGCTTTCTATTCCCGCAGCAGCTTATAGTCTTTACACCACTTCTCTAAGTTGGTGATACCTCTATGGTGATATTAATGTTACAGCAACGATTACAACATAGGCCTATATAAAATCAAATCTAGACCTGCTTTATTAATTTTATTAAGTCTAAATATATTTACATTATTTAGGAAAGGTGAATTTTAAATTATTTAAAACCATAAAAAACACATTGAGTGTTTGGTTCCTATGTAGATCTATTTAATGGCAATGTGCTACCTCAAATGTTTTCTAATGCATTTAACTAACTGCTATTTTTCTTAATTTTTGATAGAACGTAGCTCGCTGTTCACTGATAGTAGAGATCGAAATGGTGTCATTTACGAGCGACGGTCGCTTAGATGTTAGTGGCATCAGATGCGACAATGGTAGATGTGACAATTACTTCAAACTGTGTGTGCTAACCAGGTAAGATCCTAACCATGGAGGAATGGATTAGGATTAGTTAGTTTAGTCACATTCAAAACAAACTTAAGAACAATCATGTTGAATAACTAGTATGTTTTCAAAAACGGTCTCAAAGTCGTCCTCTGTTGAATCTTTTTCTTTTATAAGTGTGGTTAAGTTCTCATGCGTGTCTATAATTTAAAAGCTTCGGCTTACGATAGGTGTCTCCATTTGCTGTAATATACAGTAGGTTAAGACAAAGCAAGTGAAATAAATTGAATTGAAATTGAATTGAATTGTTGTCAAAGGAAAACTGTCAACATGTTTCTAAGTTCCCGATGCCACGACCCGGTACCAAAGTACCCTTGCTGTCCATAAACGCGTCTAAAATATTATTGCATGTAGCACTGTAACATAGTTCATTAGGATGTGCACTGAGTTTAAGTAAAAATAGTATGAATGACAAGGCCATTTTATTCTTTTTCGTTTTTATTTACACCAGGAATAATGATGATGCCTAAATTAATACAATTACGATGCTTAAAATTTTTGGAGTGACATTCATACTATTTAACACTGTTCATTTAAAAAAAAATTAAACCAGAAATGATGATGATTGCTATTAATATTATTCAAACCACTCTATGATTAAACTAGGCTTATCATTGTCATCCTGTAATGATTGTTATTATCATTATTTATATTAATGAAAATATAAAAATGATAATGATAACAATATGATGATGATTAGTGACAAAAAGTAATTACGATAATAACAAAATAATTATGATAACGATAACCACGACAGTGACGGTGACGATATTGATGGCGGTGACGGTGACTATGATGATTATAATAATACTATATATCTATTATACATATATGTTGTTATTTCTAGCGATATTCCTGAAAATTGTATAAAGACAGACATCGTGCTTCGTAACAACGATAGTTTTACGTTTCCGTCAGAGCTACCCAATCACAACTCATCGTTACCATCAATACCAAACCCATTCGAGATATATATCCCAGAATGGCCGGTAGGTGAACTCACTACGCATAATTGTTACCTACTTTCAATAACCATGGAGGAATTTCTAATTCCTCTATGCAATATAGGGTAGGGTTTGCATTTAGCTAATATTTTATTTTATTTTAATATTTTGCTATTCTTGTACTTTTCGTTGCGAAATGAATTTTCATTCATCCATTATATCTGTCCTTAAAAGTGTTTTCTGTCAGACCGACATAAGGTGACATAACCTACCCTACTCAAATATCAGTAAACGGTGTAATCTATGCTTGCTTGAGAACTATTTTATTATATGTAACTCTGAATTAAGCTCACTTAACCGTAGGAATGAATTGATTAGTGCATGTAGACACAGAAGGAAATTTTTATTAGGATACCAACACATAAAATACAACATAAATACAATTAATCTTCTAATTAATGCTAATTATACCAATAAACCAATATAAACCACAGGCCCGTAGCCAGGTTCTTCCAAGGGGAAGGAGGATTTTCTGGGCGTGAGGTCCATGGTCGAAGCCCCGGTTTGGTCGGTGAAACCCCCAAAGCAAGAGGATTTTTGTGATTTATGGGTCTAAATAATGCTATAAATGTTTGAAACGTCTGTGTCTGGGTGGGTCTGCAGTGCATTAGTTGAGTTGGAGGACTTATTTAGGAAATTTAAAGAAGGAGTTTCGCCAGAAAAGAGGGGGGATTTTTAGAAAAAAAAAAGGGGGGGTTCCCGAACCATAAAATCCCCTGGATACGGGCCTGAACCATATACCAATAAGCAGTTCCACCATGCATGATTGTTATTCTGCAGTCTCATTCAGAGCCTAGCACCAGACGATTAAGGAAGTACCTCATGAACAGCCTGTAGTTAAATAAAATGTGTAACCAAGCGTCATCTTGTTTTGATTTTATATTGCTCTGCCCCTGCATCGAGTTTTTTTTTAAATTAAGTTAAAGTACGAATTCGGTGATATTATTTATCTCAGTCATCAGGCCTTGATGGTTATTGAATTTGACAAAAGGGTGTGAAAATCAGTTGCTTCAAATTGGATTTGATTCCCAATGGCCTGTTGTTGCATCAGAATAGACAGCAGAAGGTCGCTTGTTCGAATCCCGGTTTGGGCAACCCTTTTCACATAAATCGTGAACATTAAAGAAGACTAATCTCGAATGTGCTTATTCAATATTCGATAGGGGCTGTATACATTTCAGAGCTTATTGCTTACAGTATTCGACAGCTGTGTTTATGCGAGGAGAGCGGCTCTTATTCGACTTGAATAATAAGAAATACAGTTGCAAACAAATGTGAATCCGTAGCGACATTTGATGGACCAGTAGGTGTCATAAGTATATTTTTTTTTTATGTTGTCCCCAGACTAAAGATGCTGATAAAGTAATCACTTTAGAAGTCTATGATTGGGATAAGAAAGATGATGACCTTCTATACAAAAACATCACAGATATAAGCGATATTCAGCTAATTGGAACCGAACCAACAGAACCACAAGTACGGATTTTGGAAAACAGTAACGGGAAAAGCAGGTAAATATTATGCAACTAAGCATTTGAAAATGAAAAATGTAAATAAAATTCATAAATTCAACGTTGTGTTTGATTTACCTTTTGCGCATTCAATGTAGATTTTAAGATTAAAATAGTTGCCTCAGGATTAAATATTGAATTGACATAAATCACCTTGATTATGTCACCATTGCTGCTGCATGAGTACGCTTCATTTATTATGTGATGTTGTTATTTACATAGGCCAAGTTATATTTGCTTACAACATAAGCAATGATGCTGAAGATTGAATAAAGCCGAGTGAATATTGAACTAAAACACACACACACATAATGATAATACACAATAAACACACACAGCTTCAAGAATGTGATTTGTTGATTTAGCTAACTAATTTGTAACACTTGTTGATTTTAAAGAGTTTGTGTTCAGTAAAGCATATTATAATACCGGTATTAAGGCTTGTTGAGGGCCAATCTCATGCATTTTGACTTGAAATATCAATTTAACGCGACTTGTTCATTGAATCAAACCACACCTCGTTGGTTATTGAAATGTTTTAATTAAAGCGAATGTCGCATGCATGCTATAATAATACGGTACATAATTATAATTATAGGTTGATTGATATTATTGTTCCCTGCCTCTTTAAATTTAACTCCGTTTTCTAATTTCCTCTTGGCTGTCTTGTGCGTTTCTGTACTTTCTAAGTGAAAAGTTTACAAAATAAGAGTAGCTGCGATCACTGTGAAAAATGGGAGTAAATTTTTCCCGCTATCAAGAGTGAATTTTAACAATTGTTCACTCTTGTGAGAAAAAAAAAAATTCTTTTAAGTGTAAAGTAATGATTGGTGAAAGAGTTGAATTCACTATTTTACATAACGTTTTACATAGGCCTAGAGGGCGCTTCTGAGAGCAACGTACGGTGTATCGAATTTGATATATAGACATTATTAATAGTGATACAGTCGCTTTAACTTTAATAAAACGGGTTAAAATATCATCATAGGTTGAGAAAGAAAAAAGGTAAAATACTCAGCATTCACAGGTAAACCTTGCAAACGCATTGTATTTTGGAAAGCTAATCTAACAATAGGAAACAAGCCTAAAATGATGGTGCTTGTACATAGTGGGCCGCAAACAATACAACCACATACCTTAAGAAAAGCGCCTTACCCTCATCGTGGTCTTTTCATAAAAGATTCGATTGAAAGTCGAGTGAATGAATCCAGGTTTAGATAACCATTCAAAATACATTCAGCAGCATCATTATCACGGTGTATAGGTATGTTTAGCTTAGACTAAAATGTCATAAACCGAAAGGTCCACTGATTAATCTCAGATAAGAAAGTATAATACATACTCCAAGTATTGAAATACACGCCATCGTGTTGGGATTCCCAACACGATGGCGTGAATCCCAACACGATGGCATATATTTCAATACTTGGAGTACCGGAGTATGTATTATACTTTCTAAAATGTCATAAATTGTTATCGTAATTGTTATAATTTTTTGTTTGTATTGTAGCACTAAAATTAGTGTTCGGCTATATTGCGAGACTGGATTCACGGGACCCGGATGCTCACAAAGAGACACAGTATGTCATCCAAACACTTGCCTTAATAAAGGAAAGTGTATCGAAACCGGGGAACGGGTAAAATGCCATTGTGCAGGAGGTTTTACAGGTAAGTTTGGTTATGTAGCCACAGGCCATGTTTCAAAGCGGAGTTCGAATCAGTGTACCCACTTGAAAACTTTTTAAACGTGTGTTTACTCCTGACGGTTCCCCGTCACAAGCCATTATCTTCAATTCTAAATACAACGATCAATATTGTAAAAGGGGAGAAATAATATTCATATGACCTTTGACATTTTTTATCACACACCCATACCAAACAATTATTAACACAAATAATTTATTTAGTCAATCAAGTAGAAGAAGAGGTATTTGTACGATTCCACAATGTTGCTATATGGCAACACATGTTGTTTTATATAAAATATATGTATGTGTGTGTGTTTATAAAACATATATAGTTCTGTAATAAGCACGATACCTCTCTTCTGAGTAATAATTACTCATGGATAGTATTCCATTGGTGTTTCTGGGTAAGTTCCCATATGTCAAGCCTGTTTAATCATACTGTCACGAATTCTCATTGATGAATCTACCTTTTTTATATATTCTTTTCAAACTAATTTATACTCAATTGAAATTGCTTGTTTGATAATTATAATCGAGTATATCGGACTTGATCTATTCCACGAAATCTGCTAATCAAGTGTGACCAATCATTATTGAGTACTCTTATTGTTGCTATTTCCTAGGAGACTGGTGTGAAACACGACTTGATCCATGCAAAATTGGAAACTGTAAGCACGGAAATTGTACACCAGGACTGAATTCATATACTTGCGAGTGTTTTCAAGGTTTCACAGGTTGGTCAACTTTCCAAACTATTTCCTGTTCAGACACATTCTATGCATACACATTCCGTATTGATTTAACATTTAGTCTACGAAAGCTAAACCCTGAATTGGTTTAAAGCCATCGTTGACTATTTCTGTGAACAAAACGTGTATCCCCGAAGGGATTCGAAAGTCTTAAGATATCTTAAAAGTTGGTATTCAAAGAAAAAAGTATCATCAGCACAATTATCTATTTTAGCTCTTTACAAAAATCCTTGTTAATTCACAATTCAAGTGACTTTAATCTTAGTTAAAAACATATTAACAATTAACTCAGGATTTTGATTTCAGAAGTTACCCCCTTGATCTAATTTAATACATTAGTATCTGAGAGGGGATAAATATTAGATTATCTTAACTAGGTCTATAGAAATAAACATTTGATGAATTTACAATAGACATGAGAAATTTATTATCTAAATATATTTAATCAGTGGAGGTAAAATAAAACTACTTGGATATTGAGATGCGGCCTTAAGCATATTGAAAGACTGATATTGCTCTAAGTGGATTTCGAGATAGCTTTTGTTATTGAATCAAAAAGGGTCGTGTACTTCAGCATTTATACTTTACCGAAGGATGCATAGTAACTCATTACAGTGTTACCGGTAGTTATTTTCCCGGCCCCAGCAGTAACCCAAGATGAATAATATTTGCTATTTCCGATTGTATAACGTAAACATGGACTTTAACAGTCACTGCAAGGAGGTAATTTTTTTTAAATGTAATTATCTATCCCATAATAATATGTCAAGCCCTTTATTTTTGAAAGACAAATTTGTTTAGGCAGTTCTGTGATTTTTGTCCAATAATTCTATTATGAAAATCTGACAACATCTGAAACTACACTTGGGGAGTTCATCTCACACGGAAATTAAGTTTAATCTACAATTACAGTAATACGAATATTTTCTTTGACACAAGGCACCTAGAAATTTTTTACTGGTTGCAAATCTAACAATAGGACGTGAGTAGAGCCACAAAAGCATCAGCATGCTTCATAGGTAACCTAGAAGTGTCTTATATTGCCGAGGATCTATACGAAATCGGACAATACGACTTAATGTTGACTAGCTGAGATTAATACCCAGCTCAAAGCATCAGCATGCATCGACCTAATCCTACTATGGCTGATGTAGCTCTTTGGCTTTACTGTATAACCTTTAGACACTAATTAAATCCCAATGGACATTCACATTGTGTGTTTTAGTCCCAATACTGCTGATCTAACAAACTGCACCTAGCGTTTGGATCGATTGTGTAAGTAGATTTCAACAACTGGGTAAATATTTACGAATGAAACATGTTTTAAACTTTCTAGCTTATTCCGAAGATTATGATTCAGTAGCATGAATTGTCTTCAGGTACTATAATTTCTTATGTTCGTTTAAGAATTTTGAGAATACAATTACTGTGCGCAAACACAACAAACCTAAATCTATACGCTACCCATTATAATAGCAAAACAGTGTGAAATCTGCCATCTTTATTTATTTATTAAAATCCTGGTTTTTTTTTTGGTTTTTTTTAACCGCAAGGTGATGACTGCGATCAAGATATTGATGAGTGTCAGAGGCATCCATGTCAATATGAGGGGACGTGCGTTAATCTCCAGCCCGGGTTCAAATGTCAATGCCCTCCCGGAAGATCTGGCAAATTTTGCGCACTTGATGTGGACGAATGCGCGAGCAATCCGTGTTTAAACAATGGCACATGCAATCACGGAATCGACCACTTTGAATGTGAGTGTGTCGTAGGTTTTCAAGGCGATTTGTGCGAAATAAACACAAATGAATGCGATAACGTCCCATGCATGAATAAGGGAACATGTGTTGACAAAATCAACGGCTATGAATGTGTTTGTTCACCTGGTTTTAAAGGTTTGAACTGCGAAGTAAATATCGACAATTGTGCCGGTCCGACTCCATGTCTCAACGGAGGGACGTGTGTTGATGGCGTGGATATCTTTGCATGTGTTTGTCAAGACCAATATTTAGGAAGACAATGTGAAATTGGTGAGTAATATCCATCCGATTCTGAACTCAAACAGAAACATCCTGAGGTTAAAGCTCTCAAGACTATCAAATTAACGTGTGACATGCCTAAATATGGTCAAGATGACATCACATCATGACCATCTTTATACGGTTGTTTATTTGGTTTATTAAATGCGTCCATATGTATACGTTTATATTTGATAACTGACTTACATTTAGTATTTAATTGTGACTAAAGTAAATAGCTGTGGTTTTTTTTTTTTAGATTCTAGTAAAAGTGGAGTACAGGTCGATGTCAAAGATCCCGACAAACTTGATTTAGCTGAACTGCAGGCGAAGTTCTCCGACTTAATCAAAGAACATGTTCCAGGCACAGAAGACGTTGAGGTTCAGTCATTTGTTCCATCCAATCAAAATCCACAGTGAGTGTCATAATAATTTCCATTACTACATTCCCGTGGAGACGCATGGGCAAAATGAAGTTTCACTTAAATTCTCCTCTATGAGCGTAGCATACAATACTAGTATAATCTAGACTAGGTGAAATGAAAATATTAGGTATTTTATATACATAAATGAAATACATAATATGCAAATTAAAGTTATATGTATGTATGCTTATAGCAACACATATATAGGCCTATATATTGAATACTATACTATATAAATTATATATACTATAGAAATGTGATAAATAATGAAAAGCTTAACCTATACTTGGACTCGAACACTAGACTTTTTAAGGTCCCTTGCTCAAATTGCGGTAAAAAAATATTTTCATCTTCAGTCCTGCTTATAGAGGAGCATTCCATATAATTAAGCTAAAATTAAATGTTTTGAAAAGAACCAAATGTTATTGTATCTGTCTCTTATACACATCTAGATGTGTATAAGAGACAGTATATATATATATATACGGGCTACACGTTGAGAAAGTTCGCAGGTGCGACCGAAATGTTCGTGATCAATAAAAGTTATAAGTTTCGTTATACGCAGTATATGACTATATATATAATTATATATATATAACCATAATATGGTGATATTTGTATAAATTTTCTACATATAACAAGATGTCTTCATATATAGGCAAGCATGATTCATCACTGCCAATTAAAGAGTACATGCATCATCAGTCCATTGAGGATTGATTTGATAGTCGTCTTCTATAAATTTATATTCATATTTAGTTTTATTATCAGTGTCATAAATATAGGTAGAATTAAGTGCAGAATAACCGATGGACTGGGGCCAATGGGGAGTAGAGTAATACATCGTAATGATTGTCATTTGTTCGAGCTGCATGTATTTAATGAAAGTCGAGGGGGTTATTGCCGATTATTGAACTGATGATTATCATTATAATGAGAAAAATAATAATATTAGCGATATTTATATTCAATCAAATTATAATTTATATCATAAGAATTATTAATATTAATATGAAAAAATATTCATTAAAATGATGGTGATAATAATATTATAATAATGATGATGATGATGACGACGATAATGATGATGGTGATGATAATGATGAGGTCGGTGACATTATTATGAGGATTGTCATCATCTTCATTATTATTTTGCAAATTATTAGTTATTAATTATTATTACGGTACTAGTTTGATTATTATGATGATTATTAAAATTTAGAATTTCCAATAGGATAGTTGATAAGTATTAATTTTTAGATAGATAGAACGAATGCATGCATTTTTAAATGACTTGGTTATTGCCCAAAACAGAACTACACACAAACAATCCACCTCCTTTCCTCTGGAGTATTCTTATACTTTAATACTATGAAGCGCAGTGTAGCTAATGAATTATATATCACGAGATCCGCTTCAATTATTTATCATTTTAATTAATTTTGCTAAGCAAAAATAATCAATTTTATTTTAATTAATAAAGGAATGTTACCTACGTATAGTACAAGGTATTTATATCTCGTCATTTTAAATGGATAATGGATGAGCAGTGGCAGATCCAGGAATATAAAATAGAGGGGGCCCAGAGAGGGACTTTCACGGATGGTCTATACTACCTAAGCCCCCACTATGGCTGGGGCCTAGGGAAGGAAATTTATGATTATGGCATATCTAGAGGCAGGAAATGTCACCCTTAGACACGATATTTGAGTAGAATTTTCTTTCCTCAATTTTTTTTTAATTTAGGGGGTGGGGGCGGGCCGGCTGAGCCCCCCTTGAATCCGCCACTGATGATGTCGATTTTATGGGGCGTTGTCTCCTCCGACGAAGCCGTCGCATATCCGGAAGCTCTGGGAATTTAGGGTGTTGCAAGTCGTAATCAATTTTAGCTTTAAAATTAAATAGATATATTTTTCTCCGACAACAGATCTTTTTTACTCGGCAGAGGGAACGGTTCTTTCTTTAGAGCATGGGTCAGGTGTTAACTTTTGTCTTAAAGTACCTCGATCTAATAATTTCATTTGTAGTTCTGGTCTGAAAATTTCACCATTTTATTGTATTTTTATGTTATAAATACTGTATAAGATAAAATTTATATTGGACACTAACCAATGATATTATCTGATTGAAATATAAAATATTTATCGACAGCAATCTATTATTTCAGGAATGATTTGACACAGATAATTTTCGTGATCTTTATAAATAATACGCTAGTAGCAGAAAGCGATGCAAATAAGATGATCAACGCAATACCTGAAGGAGAACGAGCGAAACTTATCGCCGGGAATACGAATGTCGATGAGGGCGCCAAGAAGACTAATGATGATGATGATGACTTGGTAAGCCTTGTCCATTTTTTCCTATTTTTTTAAATGATAATCCTGATGATGATGATGATGAATGATGATGATGATGATGATGATGATGATGACGATGATTTTTTTATGCACGGTTATTACAGATAATCAATAAAATTGACACGTTATAAATAGAAAAAATATAACCACTTTTATAATACATTAAGCTTTTGACACGTATCACTGTAATGTTCAACGTGTGATCATGCGTTAGAAGGGAGTTTTTATTTTGATGTTCATGAGACAATTACGAAACTGCCGATTAAATTATTTCTGTTTATTTTATATTATTATAATATTAGTATTATTATAATCCACCTCTTCTCAGACTTCATCAAGCAGAAAACTTTTAGAAGGAATGGTTTTAGGATTAATCGTTTTCCAAGCAATAATAGTCATCCTTATCCTTATCAGGTGGACGTAAGTAAAATATTTTATGCTATTTTACATTGGCTTATATTGTCTTTTTTTTTTTTTTTTTTTTTTTTCATTGAACTCAATGGAAAGAGTTTCGCTGTGGTATAAAGAGTACCGGTAGTTATGGGGCCCTTATGGCCCGGGGAAAGAAAATGTTGGGGGCCCAGTGTCAGCAAAATAGTTTCGCTCACGAAGTGTTTGAGGTGTGAATAATGTCTGCCATTCAAATAGTAAAAGTACTACTGTGCATTCAACCATAATTCAACTTTTGTTTTCATACAGAAATCTTCAATTGTGCATCATCATTCATTTAATATTTGTTGGTATTTTAATACTGATCGAAGCCCCTTTGAAGCTGCATTAATCTTTTTATTCATAAGGCACCATTCATACAGTCAAAAGTAGACAAACACTAAGTTCTGACTAGGATTCGGGACCTCTTTTGAAATGGGGCCTAGGGTGTTTTCTCCACCCCCCCCCCACCCCCGAGAAAGAACAAGCGTTACATCACATGGAAAGGGATAAGGTACTACAGATAAGGTTACTATCTGTCATTCCGGTCTAATCGAGTGACCTCGAACCTTCGTTTCATTATGTTTAATTCTTTCCAATTTATCTTTCAGTAAGGGCCTGGATAAATATTTTGATAATTTTGATTTTTAAAGCATTTTACCTGCATGATTTGTTTGCTCATCGGTCAATAGGTCATGTTTGTTTAGTCACGTGAACACATCCATTTACCCGTGTGTAAGGAGATTTCGATAAATAAATCTGGGAAAGCTGATTGCTATAACGGAAATTAACCGATTTACAACTACGTTAACTGATTGTGGAAATTTGTTTTCCCACCTAAAACCTTATGGATACAATTAAGCTAATAATACGCTGCATTATATCAGTTAACAACAGGGTTGATTTCCGGCCTAATCACAATATGCCCAGTAGAATATTACATTCACTAAGACTTGTTGACGTTTTTGTTCTTGGCTAGCATTTTAAAAAATTCATTCTTTTTACACCGAGAATGAGCATAACTTAGTGATATTTTCAACATGACTCATACAATTTCCTTATTTCAGTATCAGATTTTAAAATGTGCCGATTGAGCTCAAATTTCACAAGAATGTTCCTTATGACATGTATATGATAAATATTTTTGACATAACTTGAAATGCTGACAGTGTTAAATGTCAAATCTCACGGGCTAATAATTATTTCGTACATTTCTTTCTTTTGAGTACATGTTTACACTTTGGCGAATCAAGGGAATAAATGATAGGATATGGTTAGCCAAAAAATAGTAACATACTGCCTAGATCTTGGCTACGGCAAGCAGCGGTCTGATCTGGTCTGATCTAGTAGTTACAAAGACGTCGAGTGAGGGTCTAGTGGGGCGCTTATTCTTTTGAAATGCTTGTGGTGTTTCTTGGATATGGGTCTTATTCTCGAGATGTCCGCCTTAAAACCAGCCACAAGGCTCCATTATAAACATGTCGCTTATGTTTCTGTAATACAGAAACATAATAAAATTTGAAATCATTAACAGGCCTCTCTGAATGCGGGAAAGTGCATTACTGGGCCTCTGAGGACCTCCAGACCCTTAAAAAAAAAATCTGTTTCTATGTGGCCACCACATTTTTCTCTTAATCCACCAAAGTAAACCAGACGTCGGCCAGGGGGTGGAGGCCCCTGGTGGGGGCGAGTTTATGGCATTTATGAACTGTTAACTGCGTTGTCAGAGCATGGACCTATTAATAAACATGGTCAGAGAACATGGAATGGTCCCTGACGATGAAACAATTTTAGATTGGACAAAACCAACACAGATTACATAGGCCAACTTTCGGAACTAGTATAGGCCTACAGTTGGCTTATTTAGTTTATGAAGGTGTAAATAAATACAAAGTATTTTTTACAGTAGTGAGAAACAAAAGAGGTTTTAATAACGTATGTTATATACAGTGCAAAGCAGATTGATCACAAAATCAGAAGCAAATGTCAAAGATCAGAACCCAACTTTAATTTTTTTAAACTGTCGGGCCCCCAGGTATTATAGTTTATATTATACTTTTTAAAACTACAATGTCTGGGCCCTGGTTCCTGGGGCCCTGGCGCTCCGCCTTCCCCTGTCTGCGCCCGAGCGTGTCGCCACTCTCCACCTCATTGATTACGTAATATTTGAAAGCCAGCCACCACTGGCTGGATAATAACTTGCACATGAAACCACGGCCCTAGCCCAGGTCGTGTTTTCATATTATTTTTGGCTTGCATTTTAAATGATTCACTTATATTAAACCACGAATGTGTACGCTCAATCTTGTGAATGGCTGTCATGCTGTTCGCTTTCTTAATTCGATAAATTCCCGTTTGCTGGCTACTGACCTAATGGAACTGTACTGGAAAATATAACCAGGTCCACTAATGACAACTCTGGTTTTTTGGTTTGTTTTTTTTCTGATCGGTAGGAGGAGAAAAAGGTACACAAGTGTTCACAGGCAAGAGGAAACTACAGAAGAAATTACAGAAGAAACATCTGTCGTATAGTTGCTGTTGTACCATGTTTCGGTGTAATCATGTTATATTAGGAAAATCTACGACGAGAATCTCTTCAATGTGAGTGTATGAGACTTACCAGAGAGTATACTGCATTTAAGCATATCTGTACAAATATACAGTAAACGAACCGACTAATTTATGCTTGAAGAGGAGGCATTAAACATGTTCAAGTTGAGGGCGGTCGTAATATCATGGCTTTTGCTAGCGTCCAGTGTTAATAAAACAACAGAAATTTGTGTTAATATACTTATCTGATATTATTCTTATGATACAACAAATATAGTTTTTTCACATTGACTTTAAAAAGACTATTGCTTATAGATTTGAATTAAAACAAATAAGAAAATAAATATAATGTACGTAAATATAATTATATTATCAAGCGAAAGCTACAGGATGATATATATATATAATATAATATATAAAGTACGGTGGTGTATTAAATGTACGTATGTATTGTCACCTTGATTTTGTAAATGAAAAGATAGATGTGAATCGACTAAGGAAAACCTGAGACAATTAAGTTACTTTTCTTAGGGAAACGCTTGAGCATACCATTTTCAAGATGCTCCTGTTAGGTAAAATGATGTAAATATTTTGTGTTATTACTAAGTCAGAGTTTAGTCATATTATGATTCACGTGTGATGTCTGAATGGGTTTATGGGGTACAGCAGCTTTGATACCCGCCGGGCATCATGACTCAACGTAAAGTTGTTCTTGCCTGGGAAGTCTTCATTTAAATCGGGTTTTTTGTATGCAATAAGTTAGCCAAACTTTGAGTTTCGAATGTCGGGAATGATTTTCGTTATCAGATTCAATTAAACGAAAAATTATTTCATCTATTTTTATATTAAATAGAGTAACCTGGCGTAGAACGTGCTAGTATTAATTCAGACTGATATTATTAGGACTTTAAAAGTTCTCTATATAGGCCTATACCATAAGAGATAGCCCTATTGAAAAAAATTGCAAAGATAAGTTGAATGAACATTTTTAAATTCTCTTGTATTTAGTGAAATCAGTTTACTTTTTACTATCCCGAACATTGAATTCAAAATGTGTCTGTCAATCGACTTGTCAAAATTCATGTCAACTGGGGTCACTGTTTGGGGTCATATTGTGAAGTGAATCTATCTCGACGAGATATCTTGAACTAGAAGTAGAAGTAATTGAGTATTAATAATCAATAGGCCTAATGCAATTTAATAATATGGGTGAAAATGGAATATGTCTGTGAAGCTCTGCTAATTACTTCACAATTAGTATCTCTTCTTTTAGCTGTCAACTAATTTAATTAAATAATGGTGTTAATTTGTAACCAGGTCATGGGAGGGACACTAATCAAATAGTTGGTACGGTAACCCTTACCTATTGATTTTATTTCAACGAAGTTTTTAGATGACAATCTTTCCAGCTTGTCAATGGCGCCCTCTAAATAATGTAATCGAACATAATAACATAGTATAATACATACTCCAAGTATCGAAATGCACGCCATCGTGTCGGGATTCAATATTTCGACATTAATTATGTCATCATCAGGAACGAACATAATAGAGTTACCGTGTTTATTCAAATAAACTTCCCCTGGACGTTTAATTGTTAAGAGTGGTTTTTGAGGGGAGTTTATTCCTGGGAAGCGTTTATTTATTTATTTATTTTATGTAACATATACACCAATAAACGCCCCTTAATTTCACTGTAAACAACACAACACAATTACCGTCAAAATGTGTTATTGCTCCATGGCCATATAATGATCCCAGCTAGGTTAAAAACGTAATGTAATTCTACTGGAGTAGATCATTAATAGAATGTGTTGAGAATGATCTTGCTTCCATTTGATTGATATACAGTCATTTAGGGGGAGTTTATTCGAGAGAGGCTTTTTCTTTCTCCAAATGTGGCTTAAGAGGGGGAGTTTATTCGGGCATAGAGAAAATAGAACAGATTCGGGTGAGAGTTTATTCAAAGCGGGGCGTTTATTCGAATAAATACGGTAATACATCTCAAGTATGCAAAGTAACAAATGATAGAGCGTTCAGATATTATAATTATTTCCTACACTACTAAATTTACACATGCCTGCCAGACATCATTTTGTATACCTGTACATCTCTTTAAATTTCTATGATGTCATTAGTTGGTATGTACATATTATTTAACTTCGAAAACACTGTTAAAAGCTCGTAATATTATCACTGAACCTTAATATTAGAATATATCCAATTAGGAACATGAAATCATAAATAAAAAATTAACAGGGTGTCTAACATTATTGCTTATGTTCTTCTGTTTGTATGTATATTTCGCAAGATTTTATCGATATATATTTTTTTTAATTTTAGGTCAACTAGAACAAAGCGTATACATTTAGCTTTTGAAAGATGTTCCTCTTTCTATGCTTGTCGATGTGCCGAGCATATGTTGTAGAGAAATAACGTTACAAGGCAAGCTGAATAAAGAAAACAAATACTGTACTAACGTGATCGTCTTGACTATATGAATGAAAGTAATTTGTTTTACATCATTCCTTTTATATAATAGTTTTATTTCTATTGGGATATTATATATATACTTATATAATATATAAATTATGTATATATATATAATATATAAAAAAGGAAAG